GAATCAAGGTGAGTAGTTTCCTATTTTTGTTGGGAGGATTTTCTATATTAAATGTGTGGGTGCATGTGTGCGGATATTTCATATATATATATATGTTGATATTTGGGGTTGCAATTAAATGTTTTGCAATTGTGAATTGTCATACATGTGAATTTTGAAAACTTGTGGAATGATTTTATATCATTACTTAAATGTGCTTTGGTGATGAAAGAGAAATTTTGGGTGCGTTGGGGCTAAAACGACAGTTTTAGTATGTGTTAAAATCATGTTTTATGAGATAGGGACTAAGTTGCCAAGTCTAAATGGTAATGAGATTGAAGGTATACCAGTGTGATTGGTATAGAGAGGTGCACATAGGGGTCAGTCATTAGGCTAGTGATAACAAGAGACAGAGCTAGTTACTAGGCTAGTGGTGACAAGAAATGGGACCAGTTACTAGGCTAGTGGTAGAAAACATGATATGACTAATGTATTCGGAATTAAATGTGTGTGTAGGTGTTTTGCGTTAAAATGTATTTTTATTTATAAAGTTATGAACATGAAATCATTTTTATCTAAATGATTATGTGAGAAGAGTTGGGATATAATTTGTTGTACTTATGTATGTATTCAAGTTTATTTTTGTATATAAATTGTGGGACTTATTTTCACACCTAATTAGAGGTAGTTGCTATTCACGGGCCTTCACACTTATACAAACATTAACATTTTTCTGGTGAGGATCAGGGTGGGGAATAAGTCAACAGATAGACAAGGGCTTAGAGGACTTGAAAATTTATTTTATTGTAGGTCTTCAAGATTAAGTGTCATTTATGATTTTGAGACAAGTATTTAATTGTTTTGGGAACAATGTTATTTATATTTGGAGTTGTGAACCTTATGATTTGATTATGGTTTTGCTTAGTTTAATAATATATCGGGTGATATTTAGTTTATTCCTCTGATATTCATTAGGTTGGTGGATTGGATCTCTTTGTTATTTGTCTTCCGATGTACTATGTATTTATTATGCACAGAGTAGGTTGATTAAGGTCTTGGTGACCGGTTCATTTCCCACCCTACGTGATCCGAGGCAAGGGCATGACAAATTTAGTATCAGAGCCTAGATTTATGAATTACCAGATGATTAGGCTGAATCTGAATAGTTTGTAGGCTTTAATTGATTTGGTTTAAGGGATGTTAAATGATGATAATAGTGCCTAGTATTATTGCTTTGGTGACCAATATAAGTTAGTTTGCTTTGTATTTTGAAGAAAGTATAAATGGCTGCAAGAAGGAAAGCCAAGGGTGCTACAAAGAATAGGGCTGATGCTAACAAAGCTCCATTGTTTGCAAATGAGGAGCCACCACTAAATGTCTGTAAAGATACTAGGAAGGCATTGCAAGGAATCACAAAGATCCTCGAAGGGCCAAGGGATCAGAAGAAACTCACTACAAAGGAGTTTAGGAAGACGGCGCCTGCCTTCGCAGGGACCACTGTCCCTACGGATGCAGAGAGTTGGATTATGGATGTTAAGAAAATTCTGGAGGTCTGAAATTGTGATGATGGCAAGAAAGTGGCTTATGCTATTTTTATGTTTAAAGGGGAGGCTAAACATAGGTAGAGGATGGAGAAGGAAGTGAAGAGATATACCCGACTACTCCAATGAATTGGAAGCAGTTCAAGATAAGATTCTTGAAGAGATATTTTCCACAAGTAAAGAAGGATTGGTTGGTACCAGAGTTCATGAATTTGGCTCAGGGGAGAATGACAGTTAGTGTGTACGAGGAGAAATTCACAAAATTAGCAAGGCATGCCATGCACATGGTAGTAGATGAGAGACATAAAACTATGAAGTTTGAAAAAGATCTGAAATAGAGCATTGAGGAGAAGTTGATCGCCTTGGAACTACTAACATATCAAGAGATGTTTGCAAGGCTTGAATTTTTGAAGGCAATGAAAAGTAAAAGGACAGGGATAGGGAAGAAAAGAAGAGAACAGGCTCAGGAAGTGACTTTAGAGGTTGTTCCCAAATTTCAAGAAGAGTAAACAAGGTGCTTCATCATCTGGGTCATTTACACCAAGGTTTACTGGATACAAGGGCACTGGATAGCTCGAAAAGTGTCAGAAGTGCGGGAGATTCCATGGAGACAAGCCGTGTTATGGGACCAATTGGGAACAACTTCTTTGCTTCAATTGTGGCAAGTCAGGAGATTCAATAAAGAATTGTCAGAGTGCTCAAGAAAACAAACAAGCTACTGGACAGACATATGTGATATGTTTCAAATGTAACCAACAAAGATACATTGCAAAGTTTTGAACTCAGCCAATGTAGGGATCAGTAGGCAAGTCTCTAGCTAAGACAAAAGGTGCATCAAAGCAGGTTCAACAGAAACAAGGGCAGTAGAAGGAACATAGGTTTGGAAAGGTCTCTGCAATGACACTGAAGGACCCACAATCTTCTAATTCTGTGGTCTTAGGTACTTTATTTATTTGTGAGCATGCATTTAAAGAATTTATTGATTTGGGATCTACACATTCTTTTGTATCTCCTAGAGTAGCAATGAGATTAGGTGTTGAACCCAAAGCATATGAGTTTTATTTGATTGTGATGACTCTTATGGGTGATTCTGAGTTAGGAGATGTCATGTACCTAGGTTTAGGGTCCACATTGAGGAGAATCAATTACTAGTTGATTTAATACTCTTATACCTTAAGGGTTTTGACGTGATATGGGTATGGACAGGTTAGCTACGCACCATGCGACAATTGATTGTTTTGAAAAAAGAGTCATGTTTCATCCTCCTAATCACACAAAATTTAGTTTTGAGGGGACATGGATTATTTTTTTCCCCATCCTTGTTTTTTTAGTGCAAGCTCGGAGATTGTTGAGGAAAGGTTGTTAGGGATACATTGCTAGTATTATAGATACGAGGAATGAGGGGTTGTTTCTTGAGGAGATACCAATAGTAAGGAATTTTCCAGAAGTATTCCCAAAAGTCCTGCCTAGCTTGCCACATGATAGGGAGATTAGTTTGTTATTGACATAGTACTTGGTATAGGTCCTACCTCTAAGGCTCCTTATCGTATAGCACCAGTGGAGTGTAGAGAGCTGAAAGTGAAGCTTCAAGAATTGCTAGATTTTGGGTTTATTTGGCCTAGTGTGACACCATGGGGTGCACTTGTACTATTTGTGAAAAAGAAAGATGGAAGTATGAGACTTTGCATTGACTACAAGGAGTTAAACAAAGTAAGCATTAAGAATAAGTATTCTCTTTCCCATATTGATGATTTAGTTGACCAACTATGGGGTGCTAAAGTATTGACTTTGAAACAGGTTACCACTAGTTGAAGATAAAGGTGGAGGATATGCCTAAGACTACTTTTTGTACTCATTATGGACACTATGAGTTTCTTATGATGCCGTTTGGGCTAACCAATGCACCAGTAGCCTTTATTGATCTCATGAATAGGGTGTTTAAGCAGTACTTAGATCAATTTTTGGTGGTATTTATTGATGATATCTTGGTGTACTCGAAGAGTCGTAAGGAACATGAACAACATTTGAGAATCGTTCTATAGACTCTTTGGGATCGAAAGCTTTATGCCAAGCTCAAAAAATATGATTTCTGGTTGACTAGTGTATCATTTTTGGGACATGTGATTTCTGATGAAGGGGTGTCAGTGGATCCTCATAAGGTGGTAGTAGTTAAGGATTGGCCTCAACCAATGAATGTTATTGAGGTATGTAGTTTCTTGGGTTTGATAGGGTACTGTAGGAAATTTGTGGAGGGTTTCTTCAAAATAGTCATTCCATTGACCTGGTTGACCCAGAAGATGGTAGTTTTTCAGTGGACTGATGACTGTGAAAAAAGTTTCAATGACTTAAAGGAAAGGTTGGCGTTTGCTCCAATTCTTACCATACCTGCATATGCTGGTGGGTATGATATCTAATGTGATGCTTGCTAGACTGAATAAAGGAGGCACAACTAAATAACCCTAGTTTGATGAAGATTGAAAGACTAATTTTCATGTAGCAGATGGAGTCTTGAGATTTGGAGATCGAGTATGTGTACCTAACAACCTAGAGATCAAGAAACAAGTGTTGGAAGAGGCCCATTACTCTTGTTTCACAGTTCACCCATGAAGTACAAAGATGTATCAGGACCAGAAAGGGCTATTTTGGTGGAATAATATGAATAGAGAAGTGGTGGACTAAGTGTATAGGTGTTTGACATGTCAAAACGTGAAAGTAGAACACCCTGAGTGGAAGTGGGAGCACACTACTATAGATGTGATGAGTGTGTTACCCAAGACCCCAAGTGGGCTTGATTCTATTTGGGTTATGGTGGACAAATTGATAAAGTCCACAGACTTGTTGCCTGTGAGGACTACTTATCCCTTAGAGAAATTTGTTAAACTTTATGTAAAGGAGATTGTGAAATTACATAGGGCCCTGGTGTCGATTGTTTTAGATAGAGATCCTCGATTTGTCTCAAGGTTTTTGGGTAGTCTACAAAAGGCTATGGGCACAGAGTTGAAATTTAGTATAGATTACTACCCACAGATAGATAGACAGTCGAAGAGAGTTATTCAGATACTGAAAGACATGCTTTGTGCTTGACTTGAAGGGTTCTTGGGAAAAGCAGTTACCAGCGGTTGGGTTTTCTTATAGTAACAGGTTTCAGGCTAGCATTGGCATGACACTGTATGAGGCTTTATATGAATGAAACTGTAGGTCTCCAATTTGTTGGGCTGAAGTTGGGGGGAAAAAAGATATATGGGCCAAAGATAGTACAAGAGACTACATATAAATTACAATTGATTCAAGAAAGACTTCGGGTTGCTTAGAGTAGACAAAAGATTATGCAGACAACCAGAGGAGAGACTTAGAGTTTCAGGAGGGCGATCATGTATTCCTAAAGGTTTCACCTTGGAAAATGATTATGAGATTTGTTAAAAAAGGGAAATTGAGTCCAAGGTAGAATGGGCCTTTGAGATTTTAGGGAGAGTTCACACAATGGCTTATCGGTTAGCTTTACCACCAGAGTTAGCCGCTATCCATGATGTAAATCTATCGATTATGAGATTTATTAGCGCTTCCAGTCTAGCATCGCTTAGTGCTTTTCTATTTCTAGAGAGTTCTAATCTACTTTGTCCGATCCCCATGTCGACCGATCTCGAGACTAGGGCTAAAGAGGCCTTCATCAATGACCACTTCGAACTTGCTGTTGATCTCTACTGTCAAGCCATCGCTATGAATCCTAAGAACGCCGAGCTCTTCGCCGACCGCGCACAGGCTTATATCAAATTCTGCCACTTCCCTGGTACTCTTCCATCCTATATTTTCCGTTTGGTTGCCAAGAAATCCGAGGAAATTGTAATAGAAACTTAATACATCAAGTCTTTGTGCCGAAGCTAAATACATCACCAAGGGTTTTTTCTTATTTTTGTTATCGCATATCGAGAATTGAAGATGCAATTTGAGATTATGTTTAGTATGTTTTCTAAAGGGGTGGCTCCCATTATTACACGTGCTATGACATTAAATGAACCCAATGAGGATGACAAGACAAGGCACGTGACAAAGTCATCAGCCACTCAGTCTAATAAACCGAGCCGAGCTGATCAATGTGTTCGGCAAACAATGAAAGAGTTTGATTCTCATTATGACCGAGCTGATCAATGTGTTCGACAAGCAATGAAGGAGATCAGTTCTTATTATAACCGAGCTATTTGCAACAATAAATGGAAAGATAAAGATTTGCCTATAACTTAGGCATTCAGATAAACAAATCAACAAAAAATATAGATGTTAAGAGGAATTGTTGGAGAAATATCGGCAACTTTTCAAACTGAATCGCTAAATTGAAGGAATGTGTGTCACCTCGAATCAAAAATTACGAAAATCCTAATGGGGTAATGATCTATAAAAGGAAGAAGAAATCAAGGTGAAAGGTACATTAAACTCTCCTTTTCTTCTAGCAATCAATTTGGTTCCATTACTGATTTAAGCATCAGAGTGCCTTCGATCGAAGCACTTCGATCTTGGGCAGTTTGCTTGTTTTGCAGGAAGAAAGGATTGGGAGATCAAGTTTAGAAACTTACTTTTCCAGAAACATCCAGTTCAATTCCATTAAGGGGTAAATCATCCTTTTTTATTCCTTACATTTTTTTGCGCCATCTGTGGGAAGATTCTCATCACTCAAACAAAAAACAGCAATGTCGAGACTCAGAAGTGCTATTGGATCTCTTGTAGACAATTTTGTCATAGGTAATTCAGATCCAGCGTCACTTCCATCTAGTAGTAACATTAGATGGCATATGAACAAAAGCCCATCTGGGCCCCACGAGGATGACAAGGTATCCTCGGCAAGCTTCAGGCAAACCAAAAATCAAAACCAGCAGATTAAAGATCGTGGTGAATCCCTCCGTGCGAAGGGGGAGAACCATTCCCTGGAAAAGTTTGTCCAATCCCTACAGGACTGTTTTGATGCTCATGACAAATTGTTCAAGAAATCATATGTTAGGGAGAAAGACCTGATAAAAGAAAACAAGGAGTTGAAAGCCAATCTAAAAGAAATGACTAGGAAGGAGAAACGTGTGAGGAAAAACCGGTGAGAAAGTCCCAAAAGGAAACCCGACATAATCAAAAGTGCTGATGCAAACAAGTACCAACAGAAGAAACCTCGAATCCAAGAAGAAGATACATGAAAGTAGTTCATTACCGAGGAACTCAACAACCGCTTGAATAAAAGTTCAACAGGGGAATGGGGACGGCTCGAAGTCTTCACCTTTCACTTCATGGATTGAAAGGGGCGAATCCTAAACAAGTTTACCGTCCCAAATTTCAAACTTTACGACAAAAAAATTGACCCAGCCTCACACATCAAACATTACAGACAGGTGATGACCATTCACCAAAGGAATGAACCCCTTCTCTGCACCATCTTCCCTAGTAGTCTTGGGGAGTCGGTCATAAAATGGTTCGACAGTTTGCCGAAGGGATCGATAGACGAATGGTCACAATTGGCCGAGCAATTCACGGCTCAGTTCATTACGAGCAGTAAAAAGCCAAAGGATGTTAGGGCTCTGCTGACATTGAAGAAGAAAAATAATGAAAGTCTGCGAGAGTACGCTCATCGCTATTGGAAAACGATGAATGAGGTCGAAGGATGTAATCCTGAAATTATAGTTGCATCCTTCAAAATCGGATTGCCAAAAGAGAACCCTCTATACCAATCACTCACCAGGAGGCCAGCCACAAACTTGGAAGAACTGATGGCGAGGATCGAGAAATATGCCAAAGTCAACAATGACTTATCCAGAGATGTAATTAAAGAGCATCAAGGCAGGAGGCAGTTCGGTCGTGACAAGCAGACCGAGCTGAGCTGAGAAGGCGGAAGAAAAAATGAGAAGGAAGGCTATCCCCAGAATTCACCTTTTCTTGGGGTAAATACGCTGTTCAAAGAACCGATATACAAAATTTTGAATCAAATCAAGGCGAGGTCATTCTTCAAGTGGCCTAATAAGCTAACAGGGGATCCTTCGAAAAGAAATCCAAATTCCAAATGCTCATATCATCGGGATGTGGTACATATGACTGAAAATTGCCGATCTTTGAAACAACATTTGAAAGAGTTGGTTCAGGTTGGACATCTCTCCGAGTTCATCGAGGATGGAGCAAGAGCCGACAGAGAGAGAGTCGAGCCGAAAGGAGACCAGACCATGACAGTAGAAGTGATAGACGTAATCCACACCACCACAAACCCGCAAATGGCCACTAACAATGCTGCTAGGGCTTACATCCAAAAAGCCACAAAGGAAAGAGAGGTGTTTGAATTGCGGTTGACCCCAGAGGTAAGGTTTAAAAGAATGAAGTATGAGGATGCAGCGGAGATGATCTGTTTCTCTGAGCAAGATCTGAATGGGATTCATCAGCTGCATAATGATGCGTTAGTGATAACACTTAAGATTGCCAACTTCGATGTGAGAAGAGTACTAATCGATCCAAGAAGTTCCTCCGAAATCATGTACATGGATCTCTTCGAGAAGCTCGACCTCAAGCAGGAGAATCTAAAGTCCTCAAATACTCCATTGATTGGCTTTAGTGGAAAAAAAGTTCTTCCTTGGGGGAAGATCACGCTGCTTGTAAATACTGGACCAGTTTGCATTATGAATGAGTTCCTAGTAGTGGATACGGGCTCGACTTATAATGCGATAATGGGCCAGTCCTAGTTATATGAGATGAAGGTGGTACCATCAACGTACCACCAGATGCTGAGATTCCCTTCGTCTGAAGGAATAGTAAACATCCGAGAAGACCAAGTTAGTTCTAGAACCTATTTACTGGCCTCGGTCAAAGCTAAAGATGGAATAGAGGTTCAAGAGAGGAGTTTAATAGCCAAAGAGGTGAAATAGCAATCAACACTTGACAGCTTGGTTGATTCTGCCGAACAAGCTGTCATGAAAAGCCCTAAAGTACCTTTAGGTACAGAAAAATAAATGATAGACCGAACAATCGAAGACTTGACTAAAGTACCTTTAGACAAGGATGGAGATCATGAAAAGTACTTTTTGTTGGCAACTACTCTTAGCCCCGAGCAGCAAAAAGAGCTCGTCACCTTGCTACGAGAATATGTCAATGCTTTTGCTTGGAGCACGAGTGATATGCTCGGTGTACCGACCGAAATGGCATGTCACCATCTGAAAGTTGACCCTAGCTTCAAGCCAATCAAGCAAAAGCTTAGGAGGTCGGCTCCTAAGCGCTAGGATGCAGTAAAAGAGGAAGTAGCATGATTACTTGAATCCCAAACAATTGAGGAAATATAATATCCGACCTGGCTATCAAACACTATGGTGGTGCAGAAGAAGAATGGGAAATAGAGAGTTTGTGTGGATTTCACCGACCTCAACAAAGCTTGTCCAAAAGACTGCTTCCCCCTACCTAAGATAGATCAATTAGTCAATGCAACTACTAGGCATGAGTAGATGAGCTTCTTGGATGCCTGCAGAGGATACCACCAGATCCCCCTTGCCAAGGAAGATCAAGAAAAGACCACCTTTATAACGCCCGAATGGACATATTATTACAGGGTAATGCCCTTTGGATTGAAGAATGCAGGAGCGACGTATCAGAGGTTGGTAACCAAGATGTTCTCACACATGATAGGCAATACCATAGAGGTCTATATCGACGGTATGGTGGTTAAGAGTCGGAGGGCCACTAGTCATTGTTCCGACTTGAAAAGTACATTCGATGTTCTACGAAGATACAAGATGACATTAAATGCTTTAAAGTGTGCATTTGGGGTTGGATCGGGGAAATTCCTTGGCTTCCTGGTTACCCACCGAGGAATAGAGGTGAACCCCGATCAAGTAAAGGCCATTGCAGAACTAAAATCACCTCGGACTGTAAATGAGGTACAGAGGCTAACTAGAATGGCAGATGCGATTGGAAGGTTCATATACCGAGCATCTTATAAGTGCAGACCTTTCTTCCAATCAATCAAAGGAAATAAAGGGGCACTTTGGAGTCAGGAATTCGAGGAGGCATTTGTAAATCTTAAGGCATACTTAGCCTCCCCACCAATCTTCTCAACCCCATTGCCTGAGGAGAGACTTTTCCACTACCTAGTTGTATCAAAACACACGGTGAGTGGGGCGTTGATGAGGAATGATTGTGAAAAGCTGACACATGTTTATTACGTGAACAAGATGCTCTTAGATGCAGAATTGAGGTATACTCCATTGGAGAAGCTCGCGCTCGCACTGATTAGCTCGGTTAGGAAGCTCAAATATTACTTCCAGGCTCACCAAATCACAGTGCTCACCAACTACCCGTTGAAGTCACTCTTTTAGAAAGCAGACCTATCGGGACGCATTGCTAAATGGGTAGTCTAGCTCGGGGAGTTTGACGTTGTGTTCAAATCAAGGAAGGAGATCAAGGTCCAAGTAGTGGCAGACTTCATTGCAGAATTTCAATCTAAAAATAGCTCAGAGCAGAACGAACAAACTGATGACAATCAAAAATCAGGGCTCGACGGCTGTTGGACCGTATCTGTTAATGGGTCCTCAAAATCAAAAGGGTGCCGGCATTGACCTCACTCTAGTGAGTCCAGATGGTTGTTTTTTGGAGAAAGTCATCAAGCTCGGCTTCCAGGCCTCAAACAACGAAGCTGAGTATGAAGCTTTGATAGTTGGAGTAAAGCTAGCAGCCAAATTGGGGGCAATAAAGCTCCAGATATTCTCTGATTCACAACTGGTGGTGAATCAGATAATAGGGGAGTATGCGACAAAGAAGGATGGGGTATCATGCCATTGCAAA